TTCTATCTCAAAGGAAAACTTCAAAAAGTGGTTGGGAACCATTTGGCTGCCCTTAAATGCACCAGCTTATATGGCAGATTTGATTTGTATAAGACAAAACAAGAGAGAGGCGCCTTTTCCTAGTGCAGATCAATTTTATTTTTCAATTAAAATGAAGATAAGTAAGTAAATAAACTCACAAAAGTGGAAGATCACAAGCATTAAGAACAATATGAAGACGAAACCGAAATGGTAGCAGTGACAGTCTATCAATTGTGTCCAATGTGCAGATCAGTGTACAAGCGTGTCGACGCATTTCCGGGGCACGCCCCCTCCGTCTCGTCCCTACTTAGATTATAAGCGGAGACAAAGCCCCTGATTGGATGCGGCTCGATAGAGTGGATGGGCTACATTGGCCTCATTAGAATCTGGTCTTTTTGATTGGCCAGTCACCTCGGTCTCCCAGCCAATCAGAGCTGCGGAAAACCGAGTGGAGTGTTTACACTGTCTCTGTCTGACCGGAAACGCGTCAACACGCTTGTACACTGATCTGCACATTGGACACATCTGATAGACTGTCACTGCTACCATTTTGGGTTCGTCTTCATATTGTTCTTAATGCTTGTGATCTTCCACTTTTGTGAGTTTATTTACTTACTTATCTTCATTTTAATTGAAAAATAAAATTGATCTGCACTACGAAAAGGTGCCCCTCTCTTGTTTTGTCTTATAGTGTCTCCAGTCTCCCTGACTGTATTTGGGGCTGCTTCCTGCATAGATGCCAATACACCAACTCTGTCTAAGAGACTATATATGATAATCTCTGGCGCTTCTTTATGCATTACTCTTGGCAGATTTGTATCTGTCTGTGTCCAGACAGCTAAACTTGAGTGAGTAAAGAAAAAAGAGTTTTTAACACACCAAGCTCCTAGAGCCGGGGAAAGGTTTTTATGCGCTCCCCATATCTTCATAGCACGGTATAAAATCAATCGTTGCTCTAAATAGTTGCTCTAGTTGCTCTTCCTCTAGTGGTGCCCCACCAGACAACCAAATGAGGGATCCCACTCCAGTTAGCGGGTTATCTTGACAGTAATCAAAGCCTTTTTTAAAGCTAATAGGTCATTTTTATGGCTGATTGTCAAACAAAGGGCATGGGGGATGGGCACTACCAGGAAAACACCAGTTGGAGGTGGAGGGAGCAGCTCTAAGAATGCCTAAAGGCCAAGGTCAAAATGAAAAGTTCCTTTAGATAACATGCTTAGGAGGTGCTTTAAACCTGCCTGTTAAGTGGTGTAACTGCAACGTACTACTTGACATTTATGAAGAGAAACTAATACCATTGCCCAGCCACTTCATATCGCTTGTAAATAAAGCAGCTGGCATCCCCCTCATCACCCATACCAGACCCTTATCCTAGATGAGGCTCTGATATAAGCTGTGAGGCACAACCCCATGGAAAAAAATATATATCAGAACAAAACCCCATGCAATGACTCCATGCAAAAGTAAAAACAAAACAGCATGGGGTCCTCCCACAAAATAAATACCAGACACATATACAGGTGAAACTCGAATAATTAGAATATTGTGCAAAAGTAATTGCAGTAATTGCTGCAAAAGGGGTACATATGCTTGCTTGTACTTTTCAGAGGTCCGATATTGTTCTATGTACAATCCTTGTTTTATTGATTGCATGTAATAATCTACTTTTTTGAGGTTGTGGATTTGGGGTTCTCTGGGTTTTCATGAGCTGTAAGCCATAATCATCACAATTATGACAAATCACGGCTTGAACTATCTTTCTTTGCATGTAACGAGTCTCTCTCATATTAGTTTCACCTTTTAAGTTGCATTAGTGAAATAAATGAACTTTGCACGATATTCTAATTATTCGAGTTTCACCTGTATGAGCATGCATTCTGGCTTGCCAGGAAAGGGAGGAGGTGACATTCAGCCCTCCATGAACCATAGCAGGCCACATGCTCTCAACATGGGAGGTACCCTGCCAGAGGCCCCCTTCTCGTGCAAAGGTACCATGTCCCATACTAATCCCCATCAATAACGACAGTGGCCTTTTTCCCACAGCCTTGGCCAGGTGGCTGTATAGGAGCATTGAAGTCCCCTTTAAAATAAGGGAGTCACCAGAAATCTGTCCCGCCTGTGGTAACCGAACCCCCAAAAATATACGTACACAGTAACAAAGTATTTTATTAAACAAAGCACATGTTTAGGTACATACAGGGGTACAGGTACTCTTAAAAAACAGACCTCACAGGGACTCATGTACACACACAGCACACACAAATGTTAAACTTGATGGACCTGTGTCTTTATTGTACCTGAAATACTTTGTAACTATGTTGAGTCAATGACGTTATCCGGGAACCTTAGCCCCTTTGTTTATGGATTATCTCGGCAGTCAGTGTGTTTTTTTGGGGGGGCAGGCATCATACTATATACTTCCTACCTATCCATGTATATCCTGGGGCCCTTTACCTTATAGGGGGTTCCAGATAGCTGCTACCCCCATAGACCCACACAACCACAAGGCCAAAGTTGTGGGGAAGAAGCCCAACATGATGCCTTTGCAGGGAAAACATCTGTCAGGGTACTTTCCCCATTTTGATAACAAGTGGCCAGGTATGTTTCAGGAGGGCATTGGTGTGACTATACCACTCTCAGCCTCACCCTGCAAAGAGATTACCCAGCTTGCGGGACAAGAATCTG